AGTCTATGCTTGTTATCGATAAGTAGTTCTCTTCACTCCCACTCTGATCAGTCGAAATCTGCGCTTTTTCAAATGACCCCACATAAAACATATATATATACTTAGAAGCATCGTAAGTGCAGATTTACATATTTTAATGTGCATAGATTTATCTATAAACGAATACCTGTATGCGTACACACACATAATATACATGTTATTTAGGTGTTTTTTGAATCATATCGTGATTTGATTTCTATAATCATTTAATTACGCTAATGGCATGTGATCGTACTTACCCGAATCTTTTGATTCTACAATTAGTTATGTATGGTGAATAACACATTATATATATATATATATATATATATATATATATATATATATATATATATATATATATATATATATATATCGCTGTCATGTATGCATTTCTTGACGCCTATTATAATAGATGTACATATCATGAATCACGTATCACTTTAAAAATTGTAATATTATGTTACACTGTATATTTTAAGACTGGAGCACTCTGAATTCAATAGGATAGACAAGTATAAAACGCTTTATATAATAAGGTATTTTATAGATGCCTATTGAATCCAAAATGATTCATTGTTTTCCTTTTAAAGGCAGTTCTTGAAATATTATGAAATGTAGCCGGTGAGTTACAAATAAAACGGGACATCTTTCGAAAATTACTAAATACGATGCTATTTTGATGTACCTTTTAAATATATTCTCAAGGTTAGGAAATAAGGGGTTAAACAACATTTTATGTCATTCAGTTACACTCGAAGTTATGTATTTAAATATATTTATGAAATCACTAAATGTTTCAGATTAGTAACATACAATATAACCTTTTAGATGGTGGTTGGAGGTAGTCAACAGGAAACCCTGGACCCGGGTTTCGTGCTACTTGGCACTCGTCAGCAAGGTGTACCTGTAATCTTGAGGGAACTGGTGCTCCCTGGCGGATTCGATCTCGTGTCACCCAGCTTCACAGTCAGAGACGTTACCACTGAGCTATCCGAGCCGTGACTAACCTCCTGTAGGACTGAGATGTAATCACAATTGATTGATCACTGGGTGGTGATCAATGTCATGCTTGTCTAGTCCTTATTAGTGCAGATCGAATGCTATCGATCATGTTGCAATGTGGCCACCAGTCTAGGTGACTCGACACTGCGGGCACTATGTATTGAGATTTAGATGGTGGTTGGAGGTAGTCAACAGGAAACCCTGGACCCGGGTTTCGTGCTACTTGGCACTCGTCAGCAAGGTGTACCTGTAATCTTGAGGGAACTGGTGCTCCCTGGCGGATTCGATCTCGTGTCACCCAGCTTCACAGTCAGAGACGTTACCACTGAGCTATCCGAGCCGTGACTAACCTCCTGTAGGACTGAGATGTAATCACAATTGATTGATCACTGGGTGGTGATCAATGTCATGCTTGTCTAGTCCTTATTAGTGCAGATCGAATGCTATCGATCATGTTGCAATGTGGCCACCAGTCTAGGTGACTCGACACTGCGGGCACTATGTATTGAGATTTAGATGGTGGTTGGAGGTAGTCAACAGGAAACCCTGGACCCGGGTTTCGTGCTACTTGGCACTCGTCAGCAAGGTGTACCTGTAATCTTGAGGGAACTGGTGCTCCCTGGCGGATTCGATCTCGTGTCACCCAGCTTCACAGTCAGAGACGTTACCACTGAGCTATCCGAGCCGTGACTAACCTCCTGTAGGACTGAGATGTAATCACAATTGATTGATCACTGGGTGGTGATCAATGTCATGCTTGTCTAGTCCTTATTAGTGCAGATCGAATGCTATCGATCATGTTGCAATGTGGCCACCAGTCTAGGTGACTCGACACTGCGGGCACTATGTATTGAGATTTAGATGGTGGTTGGAGGTAGTCAACAGGAAACCCCTAATTTATTTTAATTCCAGTCAATTCATGATAATAAATTGTTTTGTGCGCCTTTTCTCTATAGGTAAACATACTTTAGAAAACAACGGTGACTAATTAATCTGTTTAGTGAAAATTATGTAGTAGGAGTGCTTTGCTAAATTTATCTTAGGATTGCAATCTCACCGACTTCAGCTAAGTTTCGAACTAAAACTAATAAGCGCTGGCTACTGTAAGGATTTTTTCATACCTGCCCCTAATACATACGCATATACACAAGACATAATTTGTAAGCATAATACTGGTCTGTAAATACAAGGTGATTAAGAGTAGTTGAAAGTTTGTGAAATATAGCCCCCCGAATGCCCTGGTACGACCGAGAGTGGGGAGAGTCCGCTCTCCCTGTCGAAATACTCTCACACGGCCGCGCGTATATAGCCTCTGCCAGGGAAGTCCTACTCATCGCCTTCTCGTGGCGCGGGTGTTGTTTACGAAAATGAGACGAAAAGCGAATGTCCGGCGCTTTAACCGGATTCCAAATCAATGGTGCACATGGGCTCCAGTATCCTGCGGGAACAAATGGCGTATGAACCAATCGTTGGTCATCGGCTACCATGGGATCGCATCTCCTTACGATGCTCCACTGCCTTGTGGGTTAGACCTTTAGGTCAAAGGCTCGGGATGTGGCCCACTAAGATAACCACCTGCTTCGGTTTGGGCACCCGGGCAGTATCACAGCCCACACACAAATGATGAACTCTTTATGTCTATGGAAATTACTTTTCTCGCTTCGAAAAACAACCAATTGATCCCAATTATTATCATTACAACTATTGTCATTATTAATACTATTATTATTATTATTACTATTATTGTCATTATTATTATTTTCCACATTATTTACCCTCTTTTATACTTATACAGCGGCTCGTCTTTGGTGGAAATTCGACTGTATCTAAAAAATCTCGAGTCACTGTCCGGTTGAAAATTGTATGTTACCACCGAATACGAGAACTGAAGCAGTTTTTCTGAAACCACGTGCACCATTCAAACTGGTTGCCTTCAACGTTCGCACACTTATGCAGGTCGGACAACAGACAAGGCTGGCTATGTCTTTGGAAAGTCTTAATATTGATGTTTGTTGTCTATCCGAGACCCGTATTCAAGACTCTGGCGAAGTACTACAAATTCGATCTCCATCTGTCGCTTCGAAAAGCTTGTTTTACGTGCGCTTATCCGAGGACCCTGTGGCATCTTCGTCTGGTCTTGCTGGCGTTGGTGTCGCACTAAGCGCTAGAGCTGAAGCAGCACTAGTCGATTGGATCCCCATTAACAGTCGGTTATGTGCTGTTAGATTAGAAAGTCCCATCAAAGTGAGAAGGAATCGGCGTGAGAAACGATGTCTTTTCGTCATCTCCGCCTATGCCCCGACAGATTGCAGCCCGGATGCAATCAAGGATGAATTCTACCACCAGTTATCTGTTCTTCTCCAGAAAGTGCGTTCGACAGATATTGTAGTACTAGCCTCTAGGCTAGCTACCACTCCACCGAAAAGTATAGATGAGCATTGGTTGCAATTGCATGACGCCATGAAAATGGCGGGAACAGTCAGTTGTGGGTTTGCGAAACGTCCCGCTTTTAAGCACTGGGTTTCTTCTGGTTCCTTACAACTCATTGAAGCCCGTCGGTCTACTCCGGGTGACCGTGAGTTTGACCATAAACGAAGGATGTTACGTAATGAAATTGGGCGAAGCTTGTGTAAGGACCGAGAAGCCTGGTGGTCGAAGCGTACTAATGAGTTGGAAGCAGCAGCTGCATCTGGTAACTACCGGAAGCTCTTCCAGCTCATCCGAGCCACTGGCAGCAAGAAGTCTGGTGTGAGTGAAACAATCTGCGAGGATGATGGGATGCCAATCACTAACATCCATCGACGTCTTGGACGGTGGGCAGAATTTTTCGAAGGGCAGTTCAACTGGCCTGCTGCTCCGGCAACATCGGTCAGACTGTCCTGCCCTCCATGGCCGGTGACGACTGACCCACCAAACGAGGAGGAAGTCCGCAAGGAACTCCAACTCTTGAAACGTTGCAAATCACCTGGCCCAGATGATTTACCTCCGGCTCTTTTTAAAGATGGTGGTGACTTTTTGACTAAGGAATTGACGACGTTGTTTACAAAGGTCTGGAAACTAGAGAGTGTACCAACGTCATGGAATGAGTCGATAGTTGTCCCTATGTATGGTATGTGCTTTGCACCTTCGAAGTGCGAAGTACTCCTACAAGACTGGCAGGATTCCAATCCTGTACTCACCCTGGATGGTGAGCAGATAGAAGTAGTCGAGAAGTTCGTGTATCTGGGTAGCTGCATAAGTGCTGGTGGGGGTGAGTGATGAGATCAATGCACGAATAGTGAAAGCCAGAGGGGCTTATGCCAATCTGGGGCACCTTTGGCGCCTTCGTGATGTTAGTCTGGCTGTAAAACGTCGGATCTACAACGCGTCGGTGAGAGCAATTTTGCTCTATGCTTGTGAAACCTGGTCTCTCCGAGTTGAGGACGTTAGACGACTCTCTGTGTTCGATCATCGCTGTCTCCGAAGGATTGCTGACATTCAATGGCAACACCATGTCAGTAATGCAGAGGTTCGGCATCGTGTGTTCGGGCACAGAGATGATAACTCAATTGGTGTCACCATCTTGAAACACCGACTTCGGTGGCTTGGACATGTTCTACGAATGTCGTTTCAGAGAATTCCACGTCGTGCATTATTTGCCGACTCTGGGACTGGTTGGAAGAGGCGGAGAGGTGGTCAGTGCATGACATGGCGTCGTGGCATGAAAGAAAGCTGCAAAGGACTGGCTTCTGTCGGTCCTTCACGACTCCCTGGTTGGGGTCTGAGAGATGGTGCTACACAGTGGCTAGAGACGTTATCAGATATGGCTCAGAATAGAAGCCAGTGGCGATCCTCCTGTAACCTTATTTTACTTTCTTCATAAAAAGTGGTTGTGTCTCCCTTACCTGAAAGATTTCTTCTGATTGTACCTTGTCGTTCCCTCGTTACTACCACACTACCTTACACCAATCTCTTCGTTATTGTTCTCTTTTTCTTTTGCGCTCCCTAGTTTTTTTTTCTATTTCTCTTCGCATTCTCATTGTTTTGTGTGGCGCATATATATTGGCGCTCTCTTGTACCAATATTCATGTGTCCAAATAAATAAATAATAAATAAATGGCGAAATAACTAAGTGGGCAATGCTGAGGTTAGACATACAGTAAAGGGTATGGATTGGAAATCAGTTAACGAGGCTATGAATCTTAATTGACTAACGTGCTTAAAACCTATGTTATGTGTGTTGGTTAACGATTAAAGTTTACCAGTTTGTGAAATCATTGTTGATCAATATTTTAGGAAAGTGCAAGCTACTTAGTCTGGATGGATGAGGTGATCCGGATCAAAATTAGAAGGCTATAACTGACATAGCTCAAAATCGATCGTGGTGGCACAGATGCATTCAAGCTTTGGAATCCACTAGATTTCGAGTTTGAATATTACTTTATACTTTTTGTTCCGTGAATACAGTCCTCCGTTTCAAACTATATTCACTACAGTGATTTTCAAAATCATAAACTACTATCGTTTCCGTTGTCTTGGTTGGTATCTTTTTTAATTTTCACCAGCCACGCTGTTCTTACACGGCAAATTTAGCTAATACACATTTACGCCAAGTTGTATTTATCGAGTGACGGACGTTCTTATTTTCACCTATTTAGAAGGAAACACATTCTACACACAAAACAAGATATTTTATTTAGCTCATGCTTTGGAATAACTCAACTGCCTCTAATCACTGATAACTGCATCAAAAATAATTTCAAGAAATTAATCAAAAAGTTTAAATGTTGAATGTGTCAAGCGATCGTGACCGTTTTAATACTCAAAACGATTTATAAGTGTGTGTTTGGTTTTAAAGCATATCACAAATGAAAAGTTGGTGGAAAAATGAATAAGTACCACACTATGAGTACTAAGAAATAATGATGTAGATGTTTGTTTATTTATTACGGAAACATTTCAATACAACAAGAAATATGAATTTTAAGCAATCACTTACTAAACGGAACGTTGGAAAAATCCATTTTTCACTCCAACCAGTGAACTTGTTAGAAAGCTAAATACATAGTGATTATGTCACTTAATACTATGAACATACATGAGTGATTACATATCTCCCATTTCCATAACAACTAGACACAAAACTAGAATAAAGCATACTAGTTTAACTCATACAATAAGTACATGTTCATGAAATTCACTCAAACTACACTCTAAGTATGAAAGCTAGTAATAGTAACTGGGTACTTAATCACAAGTGAGGTAGGGACCGAATTTAAGATCTCAGTCAGTCAGTCAGTAACAACGTAGAACTTCGTACGTACGTACATCAATTCGAGTTGCCACACCACCTTAGCACAGAGATGCAGTTGTCGATTCAAATCCCGTAGTGGTAGAGGTAGCAAGAGTATAAGCAGTAATCGGGAAGATTAGGGTTTGGAGATGTTATTCAAGGAGTATAATACAGTGAAATAAATTTGGAAAGAGGAAAAACGGGACATGAAGAATTCAGAAGATTAGAATTTGGGAGAACACAAATAATGGATGCACCTGCGCCATTGCAAACGATTTTGAGCCATGTCATTCAAGGTCTCTAACCATCGGTTGCTATCATCTCGTGGTCCCCAACCAGGTAGTCTACACCTACCAACATGACTCAGTCCACTTGTCAGTGACTTCATGGACTTGTGCCATGTTTTGGTTTGGCCGCCTCTAGCTTTCTACCAACCTACTCCTATACCACTGAACATAGCACGTCGAGGTAGTCGGTCGTTGGGCATACGTAACACGTGTCCCAGCCATCTCAACTGATGAAGTTTCACTACTTCATCAACTGATTTGCCATCCTTACCTAGTACTCGTTTCCTAACAACTGTGTTACTTACTCGATGGTCCCATGATATACGAGCAATGTTTCGAAGACACCTATGATCGAATACTAGTAACCTACGAATATCCTCTACTCTTACCGGCCATGTTTCACTGCCATAAAGTAGGACGGAACGAACTGCTGCGCAGTAAACACGTCCTTTGTTTGATAGACGGATATCTCGCCTACGCCATAAACGACGCAAGTTGGCAAAAGCTAGTCGAGCCTTCTGTATCCGTGCTGAGATTTCGTCACACACCAGACCACAAGGGCTGATGAGACTTCCAATATAAGTGAAGCTATCGACACGCTCAATCACTTCACTCCCTATGATTAGTTGGGGTTTCGATGCAACCCAATCCTGAAGCAACATTTTGCATTTCGAGGGGAAGAATCGCATCCCGAACATGCTTGCATTGTTGCTTAGAGTGGTCAGAAGACTCTGCATTTTGTCAGCGTCTTCACCAAATAAAACTATGTCATCAGCATATTCTAAGTCAACAAGTGAACCTCCCGGTAGAAGTTCAACCCCTGGAAATTTAGATGAGGAAAGTGTTATCTCTAAAAGTACGTCGATCACAAAGTTGAACAAGAATGGGGAGAGTGGACAGCCCTGACGAACACCACTTGAGGTAATCAATTTTGATGACAGTTCGCCATAAGCTCTCACTCGACCAGTTGTGTTCGAGTAGAGAGCCTACATAAGGTTAATGTACGTCTGAGGTACTCCTTTCAGTGACAAACACTGCCATAGAACCTTACGATCGACAGAGTCGACTGCTGCTTTAAGGTCGAGGAATACTACAATTGTGGGGCGTCTGAACGTATGTCTGTGTTCTAGAACCTGACGTAGTGTCAGTATTTGGTCTATACAGCCATGTCCAGGTCGAAAACCAGACTGGTTTTCTCTAGTCTGTTCTTCACGAGCTTTGGTTAGACATCGAAGTATTATTGAAGCTAATATTTTAGACACTATATTAGTCACACTGATTCCTCTGTGATTGTCACAAGAAGACTTTGTCCTTTCTTATAGACTAGCACAATTAGTGATTGAGACCAGTCAGATGGGATTACGTCCAGTCCCCAAATTCTACCTAAGACCTCAGTTAATTTCACTGCTAATACTGGACCACCATCCTTAAAAATCTCAGGAGTAAACCTGTCAGGGCCTGCTGCTCTCCCTCGTTTCAGGTTTCCTATGGCTTTTTCAACTTTGTAGAGTCGGAGGACCTACATTAACTTGCCATTCAGGTTGACTAGAGATCGTGGGAAACCGAAGTGTGGCTGAAGGCCAGTTGAACTGATCCCTAAAGTGTTATGCCCGTCGATCCAATCTCCTGGATTGAGAATGAATAATATGTCCATCTTTCTCTGAGATCGTTTCGCTAACGGTCGGGTTCCTAATTCCGGTTTCCTTAACGAGTCTGAACAATTGTCTGCTATTACCTATTGCCGCTGCCTTTTCCATCTCTCTTGCTTTCGCTACCCACCACTGTTCGCGATCATTGCGTAGACTTCTTGTCAGCTTGCGCTTAAGCTGACTCCGCTCCTCATTATGTTCAGAGCCAGGTGGAATGAGTTTCCGAGCATCTATCAGTGAGATAGATGCTGCTGAGATCCAGTGTTGCTCCCTAACCTTCTGGTTTACCTCACTAGCAGATACCACTGCTGTTTCCACAGCTTTTCGGATACCATTCCATGCTGCCTCAGGGTGGGCATCACATACATGGCTGCCTAACTGTTTTCCTAGTTGTTCCTGAAATATACTCTTAGCTTGACTATCATTAAGTAGGCCCCTAAGAGGTTTCCTTGCAGCGTCTTTCCTACGTCCAGTAAGACGCAAGCAAATACTTATTAAAAACCGAGTATTTTAACATGTAAACCACTATTCAGTTAATAACTGATCAGCGTAAGAGTTGGACTTCATAGGTCAGTAAGTAGGAAACGGCGTTAGTAACTTTATGATAGTCGGTCGGTCACATTTTCGTGCAAGTGAACAAATCTGTCAAATAATATTAAACGTGATTTTAATCATTTACCACTAAGCTCAAATGGCATGGGCAAATATAAGCAACCCAACATTTGCACTGACATTTAAGAAAAACTTTTCATAAAAACCGAGACGTAAGTCAACAGTTATACATATAACGGTAGGATATATATAGCAACTTACCTGCAAAATATCCAATTCCTTTAGTTATCTATCAGGTGCTCTTGTGATAAAAGTCATCTGATCGGAAATGAAATCCATGTCTCCACATTTCATTAAGTTATGCGATCAAACAACATAAAACTATCAAGAAATACCAGAGCTGTAATAGCACAAGTTCCAGGAGGCGGGCTTCGCAATTTTCTATTGGTGGTAAAACTACTCCAGTTTACAGTTAATATTAAGGCATTTTAATTAGTAGACCAAATAGTAACTATATTAGCAATTTTAAAGTGGATTAGTTAATTTACTATATGTGTTTATTTATGATACTGCATTCAAAGTCACCTGTGATTTTTAGATACTTTATTTATGTATTTATTTATTTCTAGTTATTTTACCTGATGAGTACCAATAAAAATGAGAAAACTGCCTCAGCAACAGTTGGGTCGGAACGACTTTGTAATTCCTACCATTATTTCAGCATGATAACGACTTAACTATCCGCATATTTGTGAGCACACAAACACTGACGTCTAAGGGTTGAACAGGAACACCGTTAATACTAGTTTGGTAAAATTCTACAATATAAATAAGGGTGTAACAAACAAAGCAACGAGAATAGATGTATACACATTGAGAGGGAAATGCCGAGTTTTATTTCCCATAGTTTAGAAGACTGAGATTTGATAGGATTTATACCAAAGAAAAGTCATGGGTACACACATTGCAATTGTAGATGTACTGTTTGGTAGAGCTAGAATATCATTTCAATTATTAAAAACAATTAGCTTTTAAATAGTCACAAAATTATTAGTCTTCATTATTACCAGAATAGAAAATAACAATGTTAAAAACCAGAACAAGATCTAGCGAGTGTTAGCTCGATGAAACTTTGCTTAGTGCTGAAAACCGAAATACAAGTTAAGGTGATTGAACTGCAAATCCCTCGTCAAAAATTTTTTCAACATACTTCACGGTGATCAGAAAGCTATGATTTATAAGTTTAACACAGCAAATATAGACTATTACAAAGAGACTACCTGATAGTAAGGATACCGTTATCAAAAGCCTCCAGAAAAGTACCTTGAAATTGGTTGCACAGAGCTCTTCCACATTTATATAAGAGTGCATCAGTACACACACATAATAGGATAAGGTTAAAATACAATTATTTCACTATAAATTCAAATTACTTTGAAAGCACTCGGTCTGTGATGTGTAGGACACACTAAATTTCAATGATCTTATCAAGTGAGTAATGATCTCCCGATACAGGAGTACTTTTCTTAAGTATGCTAAAAAGCCGGTTACCGTGAAAGCGATTTGTAAGAATCATCCGAACATGTAAGATAGAAATCTTAACATACGGTGGAAGGTGAAAAAGGAGTCTCACAGACGATTTTTGGACCTACAATCTCTAAGACCATGTTTTCAAACGAAGAGATTACTTTTTAAAGAACACAGTCAACCACCGGTTTCAATATATAAAAAATTGACTCCAATGAGTTATGTACGAATATAGCAAACGAAACTAAAACTAACTTTAGACAGACTTACTTATCACATCCACTAAGCGACCGAGTTTATGGCGTTTTATCCCTGATTATGAACTGCATCAATCAGTAAAAAGTTGTGCATGCAATCTTAACACTGAGGTAGATTGGAACTCAAATCCACGCATTCAAATTTTATGGTATAAAATAGGTAGTTATCGAGGCAGAGACAAAAGACGCCTTATCGTCATACTGCAAGCATTTCGCCAGTAAACTTCATACAAAATGTTTTTAGGGTTTCGTCAACACCATCAAACGTAACTAGAAGAAAGTGGTAAGTGTGGATCGCAAGTACTTTTAATTCCATATTTTTTCCTTTTCAGTTTTGTACTGATGTAACGATGTGATGTGAAAATTAAGACCAGTATATGTATTCGCACTAGATATGGTTCTAAAGTTCATAAACTTTGTAGTATTATGTACACATCAGTAACCCTATATAACCGACATGCTAAACTAGGTATAAGAAACGATAAACCGTGAGATTATATAAGTACTTGGCTTTAATTATTCTTTTAATATTACTTTTACAACCCCCAAAAATCAACATATACACCACGTGGATTGTGAAGGTAGGGAATGATGGACGGGAAAGTCAGTAAATAAAAGCAATCTTAGTACAATTCCAATAAACACAAAATGAAACAAAATAACTAAACATATACTCGAAGCCGAGAGACATAGATAAGTGGTTTTATGCAGACAAAAAGTTAAATATAAGAATCCAAATATATTTACATTTAAAAAGTAAATGGTGACTAATTGGCTTTGTAGGTTTCATATGGAGTGAAAAAACATTTAGTGTTGTATAACAAGAAATTTCAACGCTAGCGCAAGTGTATCATCACAACCGAACGCAAAATCGTAGATCTGGAGTATGACAGAAGCACCTCTACATAAAGATTAAACCAAGATTACGACAGAAACTAAAACTCTGAATGTCTTTTGGCGGCCGAAAATATGGATCTTATGATGAATCGTAACATTGTATTTATAAGCATTACTATAAGTTAATATTGAAAGGAAAACGGTGAGAAAAATAATCACTGGAAGGACTATCCTGTACTACAGCATGTTCCAGAAATGGAATTTGGAGGTTCGACTAACCGGTGGACCTGAGTCACCGTAGATGACTCATGTCTACGTATAGAGCTGTTATGGAGGATGGCGCGAGTTAAATCCTCGAAGGCCTTGTGTACATTTGTTGATGACTTTGCACTTGTTTCCAGAAAACCAATCTATAGAAAATTATTAGCGAAGGATTCTTTTTACCCCATATTCCTCTGCTTTTCTCCAACCCTCTTCATAAGATACGACTCGGTTATGCGCCATGTCACACTTATTAGCAATCAGCAACTTCTCAACCTCATTTGATGCTAAAGAAAAGGTTCTATTCATCCAGGTCTGGATGTTATCAAACGTTTGGCGACTGGTAATATCGTATATCAACATTATACCCATAGCACCACGATAGTAAGAGGAAGTAATCGTATGAAAGCGTTCCTGGCCTGCAGTATCCCATATCTTCATTCAATCGGTATCCCTAAGATTCGGCTTACCTGAAGCTTTATTTTCTTTCCTTCTAACTCAATTGTTTTGATCTTAAAATCGATTCCTATTGTTGAAATGAAGGTTGGTACAAAGGACTCTTCTACATAACGAACGAGTAGGCAAGTTTTGCCGACACCAGAATCTCCAATGAGTAGAATTTTAAACAGTGCGTCGTAAGACTTTTTTGCCATATTCTGACATGTTAGAAAGAGAAAATAAAAGGACCAACGAACTCACAGTAAGATCTCAGCGAAGTTGAAAAAGCCGCTTCCAATGTTCACCTGGTCCAAATGGTTCTGGACGGAATAGAAAAAGCTTTCTTTAAACTGGCTTCCGTATCTAGTAACAGTGGATCACCAATGCCACTATGTAAGAACTTAGGTACATTTAGCGATAAAGGCAAGAAAACATCGATAAATTATGGCAAGATACTGTCTTTAATCTTCAAGAATATACAAGTTTTCACTTGAAGAACTCCTGAAAAGTCGCCTGGACTACCTCCACCGACACCGTCTGACTATTCTTAATGAGTAGGTGTGCCTACAGTCTATTCTGCTGTGTTGTGTCTCCAGTTTCTGTGTGTAAGCCCTAAGGTTTGTGATTAAACTGAGCTTAAGTAGGGATTGAAGGGAATGTTCAAGACGTTTAGGATGCTGCAAGTCATTAAAAGGTCTCCCTCAATGCCCCTATACCCTAACGAGCAAAGGTTTAATGGTTTGATGCACTCTTCATAAGTCTTGAATTTGAGTTCCAGAACTGGTTTCGTGACTCGCTGTTGGACACGTCCGATGTATCCTTATCCTTTTGGAGTGTAGGAGGAAACGCTATGTTTAAATAATCTAAATAAGGTTGAATAAAACTGTTAAAGGTCGACTACAAACTTTCACCGCCGAACTAACCAGAAATCCACTTCAACGTTATCAGTGTAGGGCTTGTCCGAAAGGCATTTTTGCCGCAGTTAGTTCAAAATTTCAGATCATAGAGTACCAACAATACCTCGTCAATACTGGGGCAGAAATTACCGTACTTCTAGCGAATTTCAGTGACTGACTGCATTAATCGGTTTTGAACTTACAGGCGGCAAACGGGAAACCAGTCGTTACATATGGTAAGCGGTACGTCTATATTAATGTAAGTTTACACAAACCCATCCACTGGATTTTCATTGTTGCAGTTGTTTCTATGCCAATCATTGGTATAAGCCTGCTACAACATCATAATTTACTCATCAACACGCGCAAACGGAGGTTAGTGGACGGAAATAATAATTTAGCTGTTTGTGTAACGTATTTTTCCGGTTGTAGATTATCCCCAAACACAATAGGATACACGATCGATCCATACTGCCAATGTATACTCGATAAGTACCTTGAGATATACCAAACGCAGCTGAACTTGCCGTGTTTAACCAGCAATGTTACACATCACATCACGACTACAGGATCACCTGTATTCTTGAAAGGCCGCCGACTGGCTCCTGAAAAGCTGAGGTTGGCTAAAAACGATTTCCATCACATGATAGATTTGTGAATCGTTCGGCCATCAAACAGCCCATGGGCATCACCCTTGCACATGGTCCCTAAAAAAGACAGCAATGATTGGTGTCCAAATGGTGACTTTTGGCGATTGAATGCGACAACCCGTTGCCTCACATCCACGATTTAACAACTACCTTGAAAGGTTCAACTGTTTTTTCTCGAAAATCGACTTGGTTAAAGATTACAACTGAACTCCCATGGCTGCTGTAGACGTTCTTGAAGTATCCATCGTCACTCGTTTCGGACTCTACGAGTTTTTTCACATGTTTTCCAGTTTAAAAAAGCTAACCAAACCTTCCTAAGTTTCATTGATGACGTTCCTCGAGGTCTCAACTTCGTGCATGAGTATGTTGGTGACTGCCTCATTGCAAGTAAGAACAAAGAATCTCATCTCCAGTATCTAGACCTTGTCTTTGAAGGACTACGAAAGCACAGCATTACAGTAAACATTCAGAAATGTCAAATCGGAATCGGCTCCTTATATTTCCTCAAACATACAATTGATGCTTAGTGCATCCAACCTCTGAAAAGCTAAGTGGCAGCCATACTGGATTACCCAGAACCGACCACAATCAAGCAGCTACGGACGTTCAACAGACTAGTAAGCTTCTACAGATGGTTCATACCAAATTGCTAGTAATTTACGAATACTCTAACCGACCAACTTCATGGAAATGCGAAATCCATCAATTCGGATCACATCGAGAGTGGAGCATTTTCCACAATTAAGGAACTAATCGCAAAAGTTACCATGTATATGTTATTAGATTTAATCATGATCTGTTCACAAGGGATATAGGGTTACAAAGGACGTGACAACCCACAGGTAAGGTCATATCAGTCCACATATGACGTTTTCGTTCTAGCAATTGCTTGGTTGAAGTTGGATATTACCACCGTCGGATGTCGGCTAATTGGTTTAGAAGTTAAGCGTTCGCGCGCAAGACCAAAGGTCCTAGATTCAAGCCCTGTCAGTGGAATCTTGGATACGCACCGTCACATACTAGGACGAAGCGGTCGTCCAGTGCTCTCAGAATTTCAATGGTGTTCTGACAACAGAGGTTTCATGATCTCGAATAAAACTCAACAATCTCCACAACACTATACTGATTATTGCTTTATTGCCTGTCAGTGGCATAAACTCACTAGAACATCACAACGAACTTTCCCACTTAGCAAACCGGAGGCCAGTAAACCCGAAGCCAGGACACCGTTTTCTGGCTGCACCTCATGGCAAGCTGAAATCAAGTATACGGCTGAAAAATGGGATAAACTGGAAACTGACAATTTTAGTTATTTCGGCTATTGAAGAATTCGTCAGAAGTAATCGTTAATGTCACATATCTCATCAAAATAACAGGACAACCTGTATTCTTAAAGGCGTACTAATGGTTGAAAACGAATTAGTTCGTACGTTTGGCATATAAAAGACTCAAGTTACACTGGAGGCATAAAATTACCCTGCCCATCCCAAATGCATGATCTACAATTTGTGACATTGGTTTGCACATCGTATGCTCCCCAAGCATGGTCGTCAAGTAGATGAAATCAATAAATAAAGACAATGCTTTCGACCAGATGTCCAAAAGAGTTAATGATTGGGTTCATGTTTGTATTGCACTACGAGTGTAGTTTTCATAGACTCTTTCGAAAATAGCACCGCGCAACAGGTTCGAACTCGTTATTGTTGTGTGCAATATGACGTTTAATGAAGTTTATAGTTGTCATAAAGTACATACGAGCGGCGCTTGGTATGAACTGTGACCTTGAGGAACGCGTGCGTTAAATGTTGTTCAGGCAACAAGGACCTTCATATGTGTGCACTGAGAACATGATGCTGAAGAACATAAGGAACAAAGGGCGGAAGGGAGCTTGGATATAAACTGAAGACAATGCCTGACAGTTTGCAATGGAATTGACAAAGGTATGATATCAGTCTTCAGTAATAAGGATAGGAGGTCTGTCGACCTATATTAATCCTTGCAGTTTGTAATACTGTGGAAGTCCAATCTCGTTTTGAATATATTAACAGACGGTGCTGATATTACGTGTTCCGGTAGGGAATTCCAGTAATTCACTACTCGGTGCGAGAAATGGAACTCCAGACGTAAACGGTTCGATCTCGGTTTTTGAACTTTCTTCGAATGTCCTCTCAAATGATCGGTTCTAGACGGAAGCAAAAGATAAGACATGTTAATACCAAGGTCATCGTTCAGTATACGATAAGCCAATATTAGATCACCCCGTACTCTACGGTTAGATAACGGAAATAAGTTAAGGTGTCCCAGTCTGTCTTCACAAGATAGGCCAGCTAGACCTTGTACCATCTTAGTAGCTCGTCGTTGGACTCTTTCTAGCATATCTGCTTCATATTTGAAACAAGGACTCGCTGCTTGAATCCCGTATTCTAAATGTGGTCGCACATAAATCGGGTATAGTAATCCAAACATTTCATCATCTAAATACTGAAAAGACCTACGAATTGACCATAATACCCTATAGCCTTTTGCAGCAGCAGCCTTATAGTGACTAGTCGTTTTGAGATCATTGCTTAATATAACTCCTAAGTCTTTATAGTTTCTTGCTTTGGGTAGCACGAATCCACGTAGTGTATAGTCATACGATTCATCAGAGTTATTTAACTGCATCACTACACTCTTATTAGGATTTACTTCTAGTGACCACCTGTCTAACCATGCCACCAATGAGCTAAGATCGTCCTGTAATACTATTCTATCCGACATACTATGTATGGGTCTCCAAATCTTTATGTCATCAGCGAAGAGTAGAACGGATGATTTTGCTACAGTTGGCAATTCATTTACATAAAGTAAAAAGAGAAGAGGACCTAGGATTGTGCCTTGGGGAACCCCACCTTTTACAGGTACCCACGAGGAGAGAGCCCCATTAACCCTTACCCTTTGTCTCCTGTCATGGAGAAAGTTACTTATCCAATCGACGACTGTGTTATGGATTCCAAAACGTTTCAGTTTGAATTTAAGACCAGAGTGTGAAACCTTATCAAAGGCTTTACTTAGATCTATGAAAATTACATCCGCAGGAGCATTCCGATCCTTTGCCGCAGCCCACTCTTCTCGTGCAATGAGAAGATTTGTCAAGCAAGGTAGGCCTTTCCGAAAACCATGTTGTGCCCTGGAGAAAAGATTTTGCCCTTCAACATAGTTTATAACAGCTATCCGAATGATTTTCTCCATCAGTTTCACAACTGCACTAGTTAAGCTAACGGGTCTATAGTTACTAACTAAATCCCTACTCCCAGCCTTATACACCGGACTTATTATGGCGTCTTTCCAGTCTTTAGGAAGTCTGGACTGTCTCAGAGACATGTCGAATAGTATCGCTAATGGTTCAGCAATTTCATCTGATATGGCTTTCATAATCCTAGGATGAATATCATCAGGACCACTGGACTTATCAGGTTTGAGATGCTGAAGTAGCCTTAAAACAGTATCTTTCTCAATGACTACAGGATCCATCAGCGAGCCGTCACGGTCACAATGAATCATTGGTCGTCCCTCATTACCGATAGAAGACACTTTACTAAAATATTCCGATAAAGCTTCAGCTTTTTCGGCATCATTCTCTGCTAAGATTAACGGATTATCTCGTATCAAAAGTGATGGAATTCTATCGCTTCTCTTAGTTCGCCTTTTTATATACGAGAATAACCCTTTCGGACTATATCTAGAATCCCTAACCAATTATTTTTCATATAATCGGCTAGTCTTGCTTATTAACGCTTTACAGGCATTCCTAATCTTACAATAACTGGATATGTATTGTTCTAAGCCAGTACAGATGAACATATTCCAGTGATTCTTCCTTTTTCTAAGGAGTTTCCTGACCGTTATAGTTATCCATGGTGGACTATTATTCGGTCTTCGTGATACTACGTATGGTATGAACGGGGACGTAACTAGTCTAAATTTACCTTTAAATAC